CCATAGCTGAGCCCCATCCCACCCCCGGCCCCATCCCCACTGCCAGATCCCCGACATCCATGGGTCTTTATTTTCATTCAAGGAAATAGAAATGTGCTCACGAAATAATAACAGCAGCACCAAAACCACGTTGAACCTGTTCTCCATGATTTACAAGATTCTCTGATTTCTTCTGATTTTCATCGGTATTCAGACCTCATTCTTACCTAGTGGTGGTCAATTTTATCTGTATATGGGCTCTCTATTTTCAATTTTTACCTCACTTGTAAATATTCATTTGTGTATGATGTATGCATTATTATGTTACCCTGTGTCAGACGTGGTTAACCTTTCTCTGATAACATTTGGAATATAGAACATAAAGAAGATTGACGGCCGTGGCATGCTGGTGAATGACAACCGGCTGCAGAAGCTCTGATTTGCAATGTTTGCCAGTTTCTGTGGTTTAAATGCCCCTGCCCTTGCCAATTTCTAGCCACCGATAGTTTAACAACCAGCTCACAAAATTCCTGAAAAGGTGGACAGTCCGCTCTCCCGGGTCAGTGTGAGCTGTCTCCAGCGCACCACCGAGTACGGTAAAAGATTAGAATTTCTAGAAAGGTCAGAACAAGACAAGAACCCGCTCTCATTTCTTTTGTTCACCATTGCCTGGAGGCTCGAGGCAATGAAATGCGACAAGATAAAGAAGTATAAATATTGGAAAGGAAGAGATAAATACTCACTATTTGCGGAAGGTCGGAGAAAGCTTGACCTTGTGTTAGAATAGAGAATGGTGGGGAAAGGGAGTGAGTGAGTCCGGGATGGCTTTCCAGCACAGAGGTGACTGAGGGGCACTGGGGAGTCAGGGAGCTCGGCGGCTCCCGGGGGATCGGCCACACCACGTTTCTGCCCACTGTGCTGGCAGAAGCTAGGCATTTTGTTCTTGAGGGGTCCTAGCCTCGCAGGGAGTCCCAGGAAACAACGTGTTGCAACATAATTGGGCGCAGGGTACTGTGGCTACCTACTCAAGAAGAAGGGACTTGCTCCTTCTGGGGAAGGCATGATGGAGGAGGGGAGGACAGAAAGAAGGTGGTTTAAGCCAAGATGGAGAGGAGAGGCAGGGGACACGCAAGGCATAGAGGCCGACGGGACACCTTAATTAGGCACAGAGGGCAAATAGTGGTGTGGCTCGTACACCAGATGGCAAAGACGTAAAGCCAACATAGCGAGCGGAGGTCTGAGTTTTAATGCTTATTTATTTTTTTGAGAGAGAGCACAGGCAGGGGAGGGGCAGAGAGAGAGGGCGACAGAGGATCTGAAGGGGGCTCTGTGCTGACCACAGAGAGCCCCCAGTGGGGCTTGAACTCCTAAACCGTGAGGTCATGACCTGAGCCAAAGTCAGCCGATCAGCTGATCAACCGACTGAGCCACCCAGGCGCCCCAGGGTCTGAGTTTCAAAGACTTTGAAAGGCATGTTGCAAAGCTTGAGCTTCCGCTTATAGGCAATGAGGGGGCCATTAACTGCTCTAAAGCAAGAAGTGATGGGATCCGGTATATTTTTAGAGACGAAACCCGTATTGGTGCAAAGCGTGCCTTGGAAAGGGCAGGCTGGTGGGCAGCTGGGGACAAGGGAAGCCGAGGGTCTGAGCTGAGTGGGAGGCCAGCCTTCAGCTAGCATCTACCAACCATGGCTCCCAAGCGGCTGAGGGGAGACTGCGAAGGCTGTGAACAGAGGTGGGGGCGGGAAAGCCACTGGCTGCAACCCAGGCAGGAAATCTGGCCCGGAGCAGTGATCCTGGCCTCCCCTGAGACCAGCCTCTCCCTTTCCCTAGGTCCCTGCTGCCCTCCCTCCCCCACTCCCTCCTTCCAGCCTCTTGCTACAAGGAGCCTCCAGCCCCAGGCAAAAGCTTGGCAAACTCCGCTCCCAGAATTGAGTGAGTGAATGGTTTTTTCTGTCTCTCCTCCATTCCTCTCTAAAGAAACACCCCTGGAGTGCCTGACCTGGTGCCAGGCACTGCCCTTTATGGGCCCCCAGAGCCTGGGAGCTGTACTGTCCGTGGAGGAATCAGGGACTCAGCGGGGTTAGTTCCAGTGAGAAGCAGTACAGCCTGACCCCTGGACCTGTCCCTGTCGCCCTGCCCTGTGGACCCCGTGGCTGCTGAGGGAGGTCAAGGCCTGCAGAGGCATAGATGGTGAGGGTGGGTCTGTGATGGTGACATGAGGTGAGGGCAGAGGTGATAACTGTCCAGGACCGTAGGGGCGGGGTGTGATCACACAGGCACCGAAAGGGGCTGAAAACCACACACGGGTGTGGGGTGTGCCTGAGATAAGGCCTGCTTGCTCAGATGGCTTCGTCTAGGACACCCGGGGTGTCCTTTAGCTGGGATTGTTCTGAGAAGTTGGTCCTGCGTCCAGGGATTGAGGGTCAGAGGTCTGGGAAACGCTGGGATTCGAGGATCAGAGGAGGTGCTGAGGCATTGCTTTTGGACTTGTAGCTTCTCCTGGTCTCCACCAAACAGTCACCACAGCCACGCAGGGGAAGACAGGGGCCGAGGCCTCTCCGTTCCCAGGGACCACTCCGTCCGGGCCCACAGGAACCACCCCGTATGCAGGAACCTCTCCATATGCAGGCACCTCTCCTCACGAAGCAACCTCTCCTCATGCAGGGACCCTCCGCCCATCCACACAGCCGGAGCCCGCCTCGACGGAGGACACTCGTCTGGCCCCCAGTAGGACCTCCCTGTCCAGGTGAGCCCCAGGCGACCAAGGTCACCTTTCAGGCCATCCTCAAAGCATAAGGTGTCTTTGAGCAAGTGAGGTCCTAGCACTTCCCCCAGGCCAACACAGCCTCCTGTCACAGTGCGGAGGGCAGACGCGGTCCCCAGCCCCCTCAGGAGGGCCCTTGAGCAGTGAACAACTTACACTGCCGAGCCAGCAGCCCTGGTGCTGTGGACACACAGACCCCTCCCCCCCCAGGTGAAGGGTCCACCGTGGCCCCAGTCCCCACCTCTCTCCCTGCCCCAGCCTAAGAGGCAGCCACCCCAGTTTTGCCTGCATACTTTGCACTGGGCCCTGGGCCAAGCATGAAAATATGGAACCCGACCCCCCCAAATTGGTTTTTTTTCTCACCCAAATGGAGTCCCAGCCTGAAGGATTGGTTCTTGGGGGTTATATATCATCGCGTTCAGTGACTGACTGAGGCTTCCTGCCTAACTGTTGCCAAGTCCAGACCTAGCTGAAAGTGTTTCCTGGGGTTGGTAGTGGGGGCGGGGGTCCCTTCCACTGGGACCAGACGCTGCGGTCCCTGGGGCCCTCTGATCTCCTGGGGAAAGTCAAAGGACATGGCTGGGAAGCAGACTAAGAATGCCACGGTGCACGGCATGCCACTGACGTCTGGTGACAGCTGCTGGGCTCCTCCCGCCTCACCCACAGGGTCTCCATCCCAATGGTCCGCATCTTGGCCCCGGTCCTGGTGCTGCTGTCCCTTCTTCTGGCTGCGGGCCTGGCTGCCCTCGGTAGCTATCTTCTCCGCTGGAGGAAGGAAGGTGAGCAAAAGTAGGGAGGAGAGGATGGGAGGCCAAGGACCTCACTGAGACCTGCAGTCCCCCCACCATTGCAGGGACACCTTATGGGTCAGTGTTTCCCTCTGAGATATGGGCATCAGGAGCCCCGCCCTTCCCTTCAGAGGGAGCCCCAGGTCAGTCAACATTAGGAAAAAGCAATTCAGATGTGGGAATGGGAGAACGGGAGCTCTTGGCTTGCTCCCATCTGTCCAAACTCATCAGTCACTTCTGTCCCTACCGATCCCAGCAAACCCACGTCCAGCCTCCACAGATCTAGCTCCTGGTGTGACTGCTGTGGGGGCGGGGCGGGGCGCAGGAGGGCTAGGAGACTAAGCACTTGACCAGGATGGACCCTGCCTCGGGGTCTGGAGACGTGCTCAGCTCCCGTCAAGGCGTGGCTTCAAATCCCAGCTCTGCTACTTTTTATCTGTGTGACCTTGGGGAAGTCACCTAACTTCCCTGAGCCACAGCTTTTTCAGATCACAGATAGAGAATACAGCAGAAATAGAACACAAGCCACACGTGAAGTCTCAACTTCTCGAATCGTTAACATGAAAAAAAGTAAAAGGAAACCGGAGCTGTTAATTTTAATCATATACTTTATAAACGTGATATTTCCAAAACGTTACCCTTTCAACGTGGAATCAGTATAAAAAGCTTAGTGATACATATTCCACATTCTGCATTTTTTTCATATGGAGTCTTTAAAACCCGGAATAATTCAGAGTAGTCATGCCTGCATGACTGCGGCCGTCGCGGCTCGTGGCTCCTTTGATGAACAGCACAGTGTAAGAGGGTTGGCTGAAATGACGGTCACAGGAGCTGCTATGTGCCTTCTGTCGCTTCTGTCGCTTCTGTTGCTTCTGTTGCTTTTATCCCCTTTAATGCTCTCAATTCTGTGGCATTAGAAACTTACTACAAGTGCCCCCGTTTTACAGGGGAAGAAACTAAGGCAGGGTGGTTACTCAGCTTGCCCCGAGTTTGCACAGCCAGGACACGGTGGAGCCAGGATGAAGGGTGCCAGAGCCCTTTGCAAATGAGCAATGTTGTCCTAGTGCAGGTGGCCATGGGGGGGATCCTGGCCATGGGAGGGGGGTGAGGGGGGGATCCTGGGCCTGCCTCCGACTTCTTCTTGTGTGGCCCCCAGGAAGAAATGTCGGCTTTGCCCATGTCCCCAGGTCACCACAGAGGAGTCAGGGAGAGCACACAGAGTGGGAGCATTCCTGATCAAGACCTCAGAACTTCTTAGCACCTTGCCTCTCAAATTGTGGTCCCCAGCTAGCAGCAGTGACATCCCCTGATAGCCTGTTAAAAGATTCTCAGGCCCCGAGGCGCCTGAGTGGCTCAGTCGGTTGAGTGTCCGACTTCGGCTCAGGTCATGATCTCAGTCTGTGAGTTTGAGCCACGCATCGGGCTCTGTGCCGACCGCTCAGAGCATGGAGCCTGCCTCAGATTCTGTGTCTCCCTCTCTCTGCCCCTCCCCTGCTCGTGCTCTGTCTCTCTCTGTGTCAAAATAAATAAAAACGTTAAAAAAAAACTTTTTTTTTAAATAAAAAAAAGACTCTCAGGCCCCACCTCCAACCTGCTGAATGGGAGTGGGCATTTTTATAAAATGTCCTGGGATCCTGTATGCACACTGAGGTTTAAAAGCAATGACCTTAGCCCATGGAATTACTTCCCCAGCCAGTTTCCGGCCCACACAAGGGGATGTCCATGGACTGATCCCAAAAGGCTGGATCCGTGCTGAGGCACCAAGCTGGAAGGAGCTTCTCTGCACAGCCTGTCTGCCTGCTTCCTGTAGGGAAGGCCCTGCTCTAAAGTACAGGGGGGTCAGTCCACCTCTGTGGGAGCCGGTGCAGGCTTCAGGGTATTCCTGCTGGTCTCTTTCAGCTCAACTGGCCACAGAGACACAGAGGAACGAGAAGGTCCACCTCTCACACTTGGTAAGGAAGGCAGCTGGCCCAAACTCGGATCCCTGTGCGGTAGGACATCAGGATTCCCGGCCCTGCCTCTGCGTCTCCCTACCCGGTTGCCCATGACCGTCCTCCAGGCAAGGCTTGCATTCCATCTCTGGGGAGTGTGAGTGAGCCCCAAAACCAGGTGCAAGCCACAGAGTGCCCCTCCTCACCCTGACTTCCCAGCGGGTACCAGGCAGGGGTCTTTCCCGGGGACCCAGCGCCCTCTTCCCCTCCCCCTCTTAGAACCAGACATTGTCAGAGCAGGATCCAGAGGAGTCTTTGGGAGGGCTGCAGAACCACGGGCTCAGGACACAGAGGCCACACCTGCCTCACCCAGCCCCCCACCCCTCCCTGGGCTGTTTACTGAGATGCCTCCTCTCCATTCTCTTAAACATGGGGGCGGGAAAGGGGGGCCGCCATTGCCTTCTTTCCTGGCGCCAGCAAGGACAAAAGACTCAGGCCTGATCCCCCCCGGGGAGGGGCTGGGGCAGGAATGGGGTACTGGGCTTTGGCTTAGGAAGCAGCTGCTGTTGTCTCAGGAAGCTCGACAAGGCCAGAGATGGCGGACAGAAGTGAGAGAAAGGTCATGGACAAGGATGGGAGGGGGGCTGCCAGAGCCCCGCCTCCTGGCTATGCCTCCTGGGGTGCACCTTGCCTTCTAGAAGAGGGGCGGGGCAGGAGGGAGAACTGCTGGGGAGGCCAGAGTGCCTGCATCAGCCCCCTGTGCCCACACTGGGGAAGGGCTGCATGGGACTCTTCCTGCTCAAGTGGGAGGAGACAGGAAAGGGCACAGGGGCCGAGAGGCTGGTGGGTGGCTGGGGGACCCTTGTCGAGGGAAGGATGAAACAAGGTCTCCCGAGAGGGTCCGAGGCAAGAACTTGTGAACATGACCAATTGAGAGCTTTTGGTTTTCTTTGGTTTATTTCCCTTTTGGCTTCTTTGCAGTTTTCCTAGCAGAGTCTGCGGGTGGAATTTAAAGGGCTTGGGGTTTTCTTCACCCACATTCAGGTCAAAGAGGGAAGGGGACGCTCTGCCGGCTCTGCCAGAGAGCCCCAGGGGTGTGTAAAACTCAGAGGGAAGTATGAGGGGTCAGACCAGCATTTCCGCTGCCCAGAGAGCTATTGCAAGAAGTTCTCATCCTAGAGGGCAGTGCTGGGCTCCGATCAGGACTCGACTCCCACTTCCCAAGGCTTCCCTGATTCCCTGCTATTTTTCTAGCGCCTGGACCAGGAGGCTCTCCTATGTAGCTTGTATGTTCAGCCACACAGAAAATGTCTCCACACTTGCTGGAGCGGGCCCGTGGCCCATGGCGTGGGCAGAGGGACCAACGAGGGACCCGCCCTGGACGTCAGGTGGTGGTCCTGGCCACTGCCTGCATGCATGTGTGGTTTAGTCTCTGCTCCATGAGGCTCTTTCCTCAAATTCAGTCACCCTTGAATAGGTGACACTGGCGTGGCTGCTGGTGGTCAGCGGTCAGCAGTGGCTGGGTTTGGGCCAAATCACAAAGCTATAAATACGGGGTTAATGGAGAATGGATATGACAACGGGAGTCCTCTGATCGAGCCCCAGCTATGCCGGGTCCTCACCGTAGACAGGGCCGGGAGAGACCAGGGCCATGAGTGACAGGATTTGTGACTTCTCCTTCCCCTTCCCCTGTTCCCTTGTCCCCTCGTGTCCCCAGTCCTAGCCTGCCTGAGAAATTGTGCTCTGATTTTCATCTTGTCCTGTGAGCCTGGATGTGTCACCAGAGACGGCTCAGATGTCTGCCTCTGTCTCCATCCCCTGCCGCTAGGGCGGTGATAGCAACAGGGGGAAGGGGACAGTTAGGAGACGAGGGACATGGAAACAAGAAGTGTGAGTCACGCCCTGCCAGGTCGGCAGGCGGGCAGCGTGGTATAGGAAAAGAACTGGGGTCTGAGGTCACATGGTCGTGAGTACAATTCCCAGCTCAGCTACTCAGCAGCTGTGTGACATCTGGCAAGTTACATCACCTCTCTGAGCCTCAGTGTCATTGGGTTGTGGTGAGGCACAAGTGAAGTGAGACACTCAGAAAACGGGGGTTTCTTTCTTTGTCTTTAGAGCCCACTGGGCCATGGGACTTACTAGCTGGGACACCTAAGGGCAGCTATGCCCTTGGGAGACTTGGCTGGGGGAAATGGGGGAGGGGCTGGCATTCCTGACCTGGCGACCTGTGGGGACCGCCAGGCCTGGTCACAGGATGACTCCTACTCATTCAGCCTTGGTTTCCTTATCTGATCAAGGAGGGGGTGCTCAGACTTAACGATTTGTAAAGAACTTTTCCTTTGCGGTTTGTTAATCGGTGAACCTTTGAGGTATTCACATTTGCTCCCCCCGCCCCCCCCCCACCAGGGCCTGCGGAGAACCTTGAGCCTGTACATTCTTTCTGCCTCAAGGATAGAAATAACAATAATAAAAACAAAATCGTTCCAGGAGTTCCCAGGTGTTGAGCTGTAAAACTCTACCATGAATAGTCATCACAACCCTGAGGGAAGAAAAATTCTTATCCCCATTTTACAGCTGAGGAAACTGAGCCTCAGAGAGGTTAGGAGGCTTGCCCAAGGTCACTCTGAGATGTAGGAAACAGGACGGAAGGACTCTGACTCCACAGCCTGTGTTCTCCACCCCCCCCCCCTTGTTTCCCTCCCCTCGCTGTGGTGGGGGAACATCACCCCTGCCAAGAATGGACTGTTCTGAATCTCTGTTTCAGTCGCTGGACTACGCCGTGATCAACCTTGCAGGGCCCCCTGGGCCTCGAGCCAGCCCAGAGCCCTCTGTCAACCCCTGCACAGAAATCCGGGGCCCCAGCCAGGTGTGAACAGAGGGCACTGGGGGTCTGGAGCCGCCCAGTCGGGCTCCTCTCTGACAATGCGGGGAAATTGGTGGGTGGAGGGGGGACGCTTTCTTCGGCATCCGCTCCCTGAACACTGCCCCCTGCATCCACCCACCTACGCCATCATAACTCAGGACTTTTCATTCAGAACTCAGGACTCTTGACCTTACATCCTCTTTTCCCCCCATCCAGAAAGTTCTTGAATAGCTTGTTGGTAGTCACAGTTGCAAGAGCTCTGGGCTGCCAGAGGCTATGAAGATGCTCTCCCGAGGGGGTGGATGTTTGGGAGGAGGTGAGGGGCATGAATCAAAGCCTGAGAGGTCTGGGGAGAACTTGTCAGTCTCTGCCCCTTAGATAGAGGCCCAGAACTGTGGAAAAGGCTAGGGTCGACCCCGCAGGCACCTGGGCCACCCCTCACCCTGCCCCAGCTGGACTCTGCTTTTCATTGCCTGACCGTTGTCTTTACAGACTTCAGAGGAAGAAGAAGTCTATTTCCAGGACCAGGAGGGGGACATGATCCCAGGGCCTCCCCTCCACATGTCTGGGGAGGAGCCTGGCTTCTCGAAGTTCATCTCAGTGTAGCGGCGAAAATGCTTACGGGGGATCTGAATGGCTGGCTATGCACTAACCTGGATAAGTTTCCTGGTACAGCTTTCAGAGGTCACCTGCCAGGCTCTGGGGCTGTCCCCTAACCCTTTCCAGGCTCTCCTCCTTCGTGCCCCAGCCCGACTGGAAGCTTTTGTCAGCCCCGGAGCCTGCAGTGGGGGTCTCACAGTCCCAGCGGGAGCCTGGGACATGCCCAGTATGTTCACATGCTGGCCTAGTCGTGCAGCCAAGGAACTTACGGCCCGTGGAGCTCGCCAGAGCCGGGCCCAGCTCCGGAGATCTGGTCTGACTTTGTATCTGTTGCAAGAAATCCCCTGGGCCTGGGCGCCCAACAACAGCCACCCATCTCCAGACCTCACCATCTTCTCTCTTCCTTCCTGACTCAGCACCACTGTCTCCTGCATGAGTGAGAAAGAAATCTTGCTGGGGACAGACGGGGTTCTGATTTTCGAAATGTGCCTGTAAACCACCTGCACCGCAGTCCTTCAGGAGGCTGGTGAAACATGTGATTCCCTGGGGGTGCCTGGGTGGCTCAGGCGGTTGAGCATCTGACTCTTGATTTCAGCTCAGGTCATGATCCCAGGGTGGTGGGGGCGTTGAACATGGAGCCTGCTTGGGATTGTCTCTCTCTCTCTCTCTCTCTCCCTCTGCCCCCCCAATAAAATTTTTAATTTAATTTAATTTAATTTAA